TTGCTTCTTTGATTTACTAAATTTTGGGATTGAATACTTGTTTCATTTTCCTTTTATTGAGCTAATCATCTCAACTTTGGGGGTAAATAACACAGATTAGCTTAAAAGTATTTGAAAAACAATCTATTACAGTGCAGGTCATAGACAGCATTGTAATATTTCAAGCACTACTTTTAGTAGTATTTTAAAACTGGACCTTCAAATAATGTTCACAGACACATGAACTGAAGGTCAGGAAGAGACGTGCTCTCACACTCTCAGATACGCAACTCAAGCTTAAAACACACAACACATCACCACACCTATGACGTAACACTGGATCCTGTTAATGTGACACAGACAGGAAGCTATAAAACTCCACCCTTCTGTTCCTTCTAACAATTGTCTTACAACAAAGAGGATCATTCAAGTTAATAATGGAGAGTTTTATCTGCATCTGTTCTGTGTTTTGTTAACATTATATATGTAAAAGATGTCTGTTGATGGCATTGCAAGACATCCCTGTGGTTTTTTTGGTTTTGGTTTTTTACCTTGAAAATGATTGCATTAGTGATTAAGCTGAGATGATATTATGCAGGTTTATTTTTTCCATGAGTTTGTTAGCACTATTATTTCACTACTTCTTTATGCACTTTTGATATCATCCATATTTCCATCCATCCACTTAGCAGTCATATCCAAGAAAGAAATCACTGGAACATCTTTTCGGACCTTTACATTTTTTGTGAGCTAATGCATACACCTTCCCTTTATACAAAAACAAAAGACCCCAAATATCTGACCTTCCCCAGGCTGCATGATCCGTGGATGACTGATTGACAGGAACACAGGAAGAGTCGTACACGTTGGTGCCATTTTCAAGGAAACAAAATCCACAATCTGGATCCAGCATGCAGCCTTCACAAGACCTGCAGGACAGAGATGAATGCAAAAGCTTTCACAAAAGACAGCACCAAATCTACTGAGCGGCAGAGATCAGGCCTTTTAAAGATTAAGCAAATACAGCTATTGTTGGAGGTAGGAGGAAGAGTGAGGGGTTAAAAAATAATAATAATAAAATCACATGTGCATACACGCACTCCAAGAATGAAAGTTAGCGAAATCATTGTCACAACAGTGAAGAAATACCAAGATAAGCATCACCACTGAGCCACAAAATACATAATACAACCAAATGTTGAACGACAACATAGTGTAAACTGACAGGAAGTCGAACTGCCTGCATGCTATGTTGCAATACAAAAACAAATAAAAATTAGTGCAGTGTGATTTTTTTTTCTTCTTACCCATATGTCCTGCAGGTTGAGTTTTGGGGGTCTAATGGGTGGAGGGTTATAGGAGGAGAGTTCTGGGCAGATAACAAGAACCCAACTGCCAACAGAGCCAGACTCAGACCAGTTCCTGCATCGGAAACATAATGAGACAAACACACTGAGAAAGACGGCAGGGGTGTCTGCAGAAACAAGCAGTTCATTTTCATATACCTGAATAATATCATTGACCAAATATAATACTATTACCATAAAAACACATTAGTTTTACTTTAGAAGTCAGTCTGGTTGCAAAAGTCCCAGAGATGTTTACATGAAAATGACCCCAGTCCTGCCCACTGTAAACACTTTTGGCCTTAGCTACAGTAAGAACACATTTCTATAGGTTTATTGTTGATTTGTGACAAGTTTGTGTTAAATTAACTTAACACAAACACCCCCCCAAACTAAAAAAAAAATGCATCTATCAATCAAGTAATCTCTATAATTACAAACCTAAAAGACTGCCCAGGGTCAGCTTCCTGCGACCCACTTTCTCAACAAGCCAGACTCCCAACAAGGTGAACACAAAGTTGGTAGCTGAAGTTGCTGCGGCCAACCATATTGCCTGTTTATCATCACGCACCCCAGCCATCTGCACAATGGTTGCACTGTAGTACCTAGGATACAGCACAGGACAGATTTACAGAAAACACACTTGCTCTGATGTAGCGCTTGAGGTTTTACAGCAATGGTTAGCATTGTCATGCGGTCTGAAACTGAACAAAACAAAAAGTCGGCCTACATGACGGTGTTTATCCCAGACAACTGCTGAAACATCTGGAGCCCACAACCAACGATGAGAGCCCTACGAGTCGGCGAGTGCCTGAGGATACGGAAAATAACAGGCCCACCTAAAAATAACCAGGAAAAAAAAAAAAGAAAACACACAGTGTGATTAAGCACGCGCACATAACACCTGCTATGTTTCCCTTTTCCTAGACATCGTTTACCTCCATTTAAATCTTTCTCTTCTTCCTCAATGCTGGCTCTGATGGTGTCATACTCCTCATCAATGTTCTGACCTCCTCTGATCTGGCTGAGAACCTGATGAGCCTCTAGGCTTCGGCCTTTTTGGAGGAGCCAACGGGGGCTCTCGGGCAGAAAAATAAAGCCGAAGAACTGCAGCACAGAAGGAAGGCAGGAAAGGCCCAACATGTACCTAAAGCATGGAGAAGATGCAGCTTCTTGGAATCTGAAAACTCTGGTGCCCCTTATTGGCATTCACGGCAAAGATCCAAATAATGGTAAAAAAGGGATAAATCAAATTTAACCAAACTAAACTAAAGCCCTTAGCACAGGTGAGAGAGCATCAAAGCTGCGTACCTCCAGCCGTCTTGTCTCACGTAGCTGAAAGCCCCATCAATCACACTGGCAATGAACTGGCCACCAGTGATAAAGAGGGAATTGATAGTGACCAGCTGACCTCGCAGGTGAGGAGGGGAAACTTCTGCGATGTACACAGGAACAGTCATGGAAGCAATGCCTAAAGGCAAGGAGAGGAACAGTTTCATGCTAATGCACAACAGATGCATTCCCACAGACAATTCATATTACATCCTAACTCTGCCGTATAATTCAGAGCTCTGTGTTTGAATAAGGCAAATATTGAATAATGACAGTCAAACAAAGGGTTCCTTATAAGGAGCAAAATCATAATGGTGACTTTACCTTGATACAAGCTGTGGTGTTAAATAAAAATAACTTACCTATGCCCAAACCAACTGTAATTCTGCCAACAAGGAGGACCACCTTGTCTGGGGCAAGACTCAAGATGATGCCACCGACAGTGAAGATAAAGCTGGCCACAAGGATACAGATCCTGCGGCCCAGCCACCCGTTCAGGTAGCCTCCACTCAGGGCAGAGAGCGCCGCAGCTCCCACAGTACTGGACACCAGCAGCTCCTGCCACAGAGCATTCAGGTTCATCTCCTTCTTGAGGAGAATCATGGCTCCAGAAACCACTCCAGTGTCATACCCAAAGAGGAATCCCCCCAAGGCAGAGAAAAACGCCAACAAATAGACAAAAAGCGGCTTGGGGGCATCCCGGTCTGGGAGATTCTCATCCACATGCCTAGATGGAGGTCCTATGAGACTCCGCTCTCCATCGTCCCCGGCTTTCTGTCTCCTGCTGGCCATGAGGTTGCTCATGTGCTCCAAGCTGTACTCATCATAGCTGCTGGACATAGGAGAAACCAGAGGTTAAGCTAACCAGGGGTTGCAGGTCACCACTTTATTAAATCAGCCAGGTGAGATACTTCTGTGAGGAAGTGGCGGTGACGTGTACATGGATGCAGTCATGTCCCATTAAAGCAGATTACAAATCATAATCATTTTTTGTTGTTGTCGTTTTCCCCTCAACAAAATAATAGCAATATTTTCAGTGCAAGACGTTCAGCTAACCTCTAAGTTAAACTCCAAACCTTGGGTCTGTTTTTAGGTGTCCAGCTCGAAAAAGCAACAGGAAAGAAAGCACCACGTCGTGATTTTAGCAGCTATACTAGCTAACTTTGATGACGACATGTCGTGACTAATTCCTGTGGTTAACCGAGCGCCAGATTCTGCTGTGTCGCATATTTCGGAGTCGCGTCGTGGGAAAGCTGCCTAAACAGTGTAGGTTGATGACTTTAAGCTGACTTTAGATGTTTGGTTCACCACTGACAGCGCTACTGCTTTGCTCTGCGTGCAGCCATGTTTGTGCGTGAGGTCACGTGCCCACCCGGCTACAAAAACAATGTTGTTTCTTTTTTTCAAACAGAGAGTTTACGATCTTCCTACAGCACCGTGCCAAACTCCATCCAAAATGTCATTTTTAACGAATTTGTGCTCAGCGGAGACTTTTGTGCACGTAAAACCAGAGTTGACAGCACATGTATTGTCTACTCGAAAATTCGGCAGAGATGTGAGCGAACAATTTTCATCCAGATCACTTTTCCCCATCTATTTTTCATTACTTTCATGAGTATTTCCGAATGTAACTTCTACTTCATTTATTCTTATAATGCTAAAAGTACGGAATGGTAAGTGACCCTTATGCCCCTCGTCCCCATAAGTCATCTGTTTGCAGTAAAGTCAAATAAGTCGCATTACTGGACTTTAGCCTGTCAGGTCACCTTAACTATCTGTGAAAAAAACATACCTCTAAAAAAGCTGCTTTCCTCCAGCGCACAGTGCTGCTGTGGATGTGTTCTTCAACAAACAGGAAGTCTGTTATGTGGATCATATGATATTATCCCTGAAAAAAAAAAAGTAAACACGCCCATTTGAACTGTAAAATGTAACCCAACTGGTTCTTTTTATGGTAGTCGTGATTAATGAGCCAACACAGCAGGAATTTGCACTGGCCACAAAACATGGCAAAGATTTCAACTGTGAGCACTTTTTTATGCGCTATCACTAAGTTTGGGCAGATTTAGATGGATACGTTTCGCGAAGGTAAATATTAACTGTTGCACTTTCGTTTTTGTTTTCTTATGTATTTTTACCCCCCAAAATATGATTAACATTCTTTTTTTAATCAAACAGACACTTGACAGATAAAGACACGTTTTCCACTGGGCTTTCCTACATATAAATTGTGCAAAGTTGGATGATCGTGGCTCAAGAGTTGGGAGTTCGCCTTGTAATCGGAAGGTTGCCGGTTCGAGTCCCGGCTCGGACAGTCTCGGCCATTGTGTCCTTGGGCAAGACACTTCACCTGTTCCCTACTGGTGGTGGTCAGAGGGCCCGGTGGCGCCAGTGTGCCCGGTGTCCTTAGGGACTAGTAAAGCGCTATACAAATACAGGCCAAAAAGCAAAACCCATCTAAACCGTGGTCTAATGTATACTTTAAAACGCACAAAGCATTCTTGTGTCCTAAAATAAAATTTCATGACTACAATCTTTAAACAACAAGTAAACCGGAGTTTTTTTTTTTCTTTATTTATTTAAGTAGTCTTCAGGAATAGTTCTGAATGATTTTTTTTTTAAAACGGCTGAAAAGTGAAGATATTTAGGCATATCACTGGTGGTTGGGGGGTTGTACCCAATGCTGAATACAGGAAAAATAAGATATGACCACTATGTCAAGTTGATATTCTGTGCTCACCGACTGTCATCCAATCCTCAAATCAGATGGTGCTCTCCTTGCCAGGGAACAGCTGGACCTGAACCACAGCTTCTAGGGACACTGGAAGTACCTACACTATAACATACTTTGTACTTATGTTATACAACTTAAACAACATAGTTTTATCAATGATTTTTTTGTTTTAACCTCACACTCATTTACTTTCCTCTCTGTGGGAGAAAAGGGTCCATCCAATATCTCAAAAAAAGTGCAAAGGTAGACAGCATAGTATGGTAAACAATATATATTTTATTCTAGATATCTATATATTTTTCATAGCTGCTTTTATTATTATATTATCATGATCAGAAACTAATCCCACAATATCATTTGCATTGGTAAGTTAAACTGCATAAAGAAATTATTATTTACAATGCTGCAGTCTGTTCCATGCAGCTACATTTCCAATAGAATTCACTGGAGAGCAACCTGTTGAAATGATCCCATATCCATCCATCAGTCTACCCATCCATCCATCTTCTTCTCCTTATTTGGGGCCAGGTTGCAGGGGCAGCAGCCTAAGGAGAGAAGCCTTGACCTCCCTCTCACCAGTCTTCTCCTCCAGCTTATCCCAAGGAACACCAAGGCATTCGCAGGCCAGCCACCCTTCAGAGAAAGCTAATTTCTGCCTCTTGTATCTGTGATCTCAATCTTTTGGTCACTACCCAAAGCTCAGGACCATAGGTGAGGGTAAGGACGTAGCTCAACCAGCTAAATCAAGAACTTTGCTTTTACACTCAACAGCAACCGCATCATTGTAGCCACAGCATAAATCTGTCTGTTTATCTTCCACACCCAGCATTCATCAACAAGACTCTGAGCTGCTTAAACTCCTCCACTTGGGACCGTAACTCATCCCTGACCCGGAGTGGGCACAACATCCTTTTCCAGCTGAGGATCATGGCCTCAGACTTGGAGCCGATTCTCATTCCTGCCACTTTACACTCGGCTGCGAACTGCTACAGTGCGAGCTGGAGGTCGCTGCCTTACTATACCTTTAGGCGCCCCAAGTCTGTCCAGCATCCTCCCCCGCCACATGACTTGGATCAGGTGATCAGTTGAGAGCTCAGCACCTCTTTTCACACAAGTATCCAGAACATATGGCCGCAGATTTGATGATACAAAATTGATCATCGACCTGCAGCCTAGGGTCTCTTATTGCCATGTGCAATTATAGACACCCTTTTGTTTGAACATGGTGTTTGTTATGGACAATTTGTGGTTTGCACAGAAGTCTAGTAATAGAACATTGCTTTGGTTCACATCTGGCAGGCTGTTCCTCCCAATCACGCGCCTGCGGGTCTCACTGTTGTTGCTCACATGAGCGTTGAAGTCTCCCAGTAAGACGACAGCATCCTCAGGCACACCACCTAGAGGCTCCAAGAAGGCCAGGTACTCTGAACCATCGTTTGGTGCACGGGCGCAGACGACAGCCAGGATCCATTCTCCAATTCAAAGGTGCAGGGAACAAACCCAGGGAAAAACTCCAACTTATAGGCAGCAAGCCAAGCGGATGCTAAAATATTCTGACCAAACTGTTTCCAATTTTGCACATTAGGTACAAAGCAACACTGAGAAAGCTTTTACTTTGGAAGCCAAATCATATTGCAAAAAAACCAGCAATACAGTGTAACTCTAACAAGTGGGGATGCGTGCATTGATACAAATATTGAAAGTACTGATCCCAGCATTGATATTGCACCTGTTTCATGAAAAAGCAGCCACGTCTGTGCAAACACCGGTCCTTTCAGCCACCCTTTGCTCCACCCTCACCTCTTCCTCCCTGTGGTTTGTTGCTGTGGAGTCACATGACTTAGGTGCACCTGGTGTCCAGATATTTATAGCTGTAAATGAAAACACTGCAAACAGCAGTGCCTGTAGGAATTTCTCTACTATGACTTTATTGAGTCACAACTAGACAACAGTGGCAGTACAGATTAAAAGTACACAGTTTTACTGTTGTTTACGTTCAGTGATGCCATCTAGTATTGTTAATTCTATGTGAGGCTGCTGCTGTGGTGGGATTTTTGAGTTGAGGGGGCATTCCACAAAATATTTCTGACCGGGAGCTCGGAACCTCCGACTTATTCAGGAACACAGCATTAGAAAAACAAAATATCGATCATATTACCTATCATCGATTCAATACCAATACACGCTTTGGTATCGATCCGCCACTTCTAGTATACAGGGGTGATTACTTTGGGAGGACACCTAATTTAGAGATTAACTGAAATAATTTAAAAACTATTTTAGAGTTTGCTTTAGTGTGGGAATTTTCCTCCATCATACACAGCAAATGTCAGTGCCAGGTCAAGCTGCATTGTTGTAAATCTGTAAATCAGCAACTGGCATTAGACGCAGAGTGGGAGGGCTAACTCAAGCTACTCGTTAGCCTGTAAAAGTGTAGCTTGAAGTAAAAAAACAAACAAACCCGTTGGGGGGTAACGTAAGTGCCGTTGACTTGGCTCTCTGTCTGACTCGCTTCCCCTGTCAGAGAGAAAGTCGGATTCTCTCTGACTCTATTTTCAGCTTCCTCTTCTGTAAGCGGGGAGTTTTTACTGCCTGCAGTCATATGATGCGATCGTAGGAAAGCAGGAACACGCCTTTCAGAGAGGACTCGCTTCGTTTTCACATCCAAGCAACATAAAGTCATCGACTCCGCAAAGAGGAACTTATTCTCTGCCACAGGAAAGTTAGCCGAGGACTGTGATGTCGGAACCGAAACTCCGCGACACTGACCGCTTCCCTTGTAGCAACAGCCACTTATAGCTTTCTGTAGCTACTGTATTATTATGCAACACAGCAATTCAGTAATGATTTGTAAAGACATGAGTAACTACAGTGGATCTTCAGTGAGTTATTTAAACGCTAATGCTGCGCTCAGTGTGGCCGCTCGAAGGCCGTTGTCGGTTCAGAGAGAGCGCAGTGATTGATTTCAATGCACGTCAAGTCGTCGTCAGCTGGAACAGGGCGCTTTAAAGACCATGGTTAACAAAGAGGAGCTGGAAGAAAGGCTGAAAAAACTTTTGGTGAGGCTGAAAACTCCCCAGGAAGACAGGCAACTGTGCACGCTGATTCAAATCATCCAGGATCTGCTTTTCCTGGCGCACACCGACTATGGTAGGAAGCACATTGTTTCAGCGTGTGCATCATCACGCTGCTCATAAACAGCCATCATTTCCTTTTGGCATTTTTGCATTGCCTTATGAGAATTAGGTCAGATTAAAAAAAGTAGTATTTGCCCAGTGTGAAATGTGATATGGCATTCAATAATTTTGCATGATCGTTTTTATGGTTTTATTTATTTCAGACCACAATGTAATTCACTGAGCTCTTTAAAAAAACAAAAAAACAAACTCTGCTCCTTTTGTGCATTTTTTCCCTTCCATCCTTCCATCTTCTAGTCTATTGATGCTGTATTTCTTTGTTCATATGTCCTACTTTAAGGTTTGTTATACAGCAGGTTAATGATTTAGCTGTTTTTACAGAGTAATTTCCCAGTTTTGGCGATAAATAAAGCATATCTTATCTTAAATACAAAACATAATGTCTTTGGGGTCATACTAAGGCCATTATAGTTTACTTAAGACTAGGCGTGAAAACACATTCAAGTTACCTGAAATCAAATTTAAAATGAGATTTACTTAGATTAGTAGATTTTAAGCACAGACTTGTACCTGCACAGTAAAGCCCTGCTGTAATGCTGCCTTGTTATGCACATTTAAAAACAGGAATGAGGGTAAAAGACCCAGTCACTTTATTCAAAACTAATGGGACTCATCGTGTCTTCTTATCTCTTGTTCCATGCTGCAGCAGCTGAACTGTTTGAAGACAAAGATGTCCACGTGCCCCTCGTGCTGGTTCTGTCTACCCACATCAGCAGCAGAGGAGTCCAGCAGGTAATGAATGACACAACGAAAATTAGCCATTATAATGGCAGGTGGTGCTATCTGTGTGAGGTAAGGTGAGGTGTGTTCAGCAGCATCACTCGCTCTTTGTTGTTGACAAATCATCTGTGGACTGACGCGCCTACACAAAATCTAGCATGTCTTGCGACTGCTGTGTAATGCTAATTATCAGAGGTAAGACTACATATTGAAGCAAACTGAAAGTGAGATTGTAAGATTCATATTTTCTCAGTACTGTAATGTGTATGCTTGAGATCAGAATCATTACTTTTCATTGGTTTGTTGTAATGACTCATTCCCGTCATTTTAATAAATTGTTTGTTCTTCCTTTTCACAGGTTGGCTGGTCATTGCTGTGTCAGCTGATTGAAATATGCCCCACTACACTGGACCAGCTAACCAGACCTTTGGATGAAGCCCAAGAGTGGGAGGTAGAGGGAGTGCACCAGTAAGTGAAGACTCTCTGGCAGCTGTGGGCTTTATGCAGCACCACTCATTTAAATGAATGACTATCATGATGGCTCATGCCACACGAAGGTACATGAAACATATAGGCGTGGTCAAGACAACCTGCTCAAGTTCAAACCAAGCATTAATTTTGGGAGGAAAGGTGATTGGAGTGACTTTGAACGTTGCATGTTGTTGCTGTTGGTTCCAGATGGGCTGGGCTGAGTAATTCATAAACTGCTGGGTTTTTCCCCTCAGAACAATCTCTAGGGTTTACAGAGAGTGGTTCAAAGAGAAAATGTCCAGTGAACGGCAGTTCTGTGGGCAAAAACCCCTTGTTGATACCAGAGGTCAGAGGACAATAGTCAGACTTTATAGTAAGGCAACAGTAACTCCAATAACCACTTGTCACTATCAAGTTTTGCAGTACAGCATCTCTGAATGTTCCTCTGAGATGCACAGCAGAGATGCACAACATGTTGATCATTGAAACAGCTACAGGGGCAGCAGACCACACTGGGTGTCACTCCTGTCAACCAAGAACAGGAAACTAATGCTACGGTTCAAACAGTCTCGTCAAAATTGGACGACAGAAAAACTGGAAAAACGTTACCTGCTCTCATGTGGCTTGATTTCTGTTGTGATGTTCAAATGTGAGGGTCAGAGTTTGGGATAAACTGCATGAATGCATGGATCCATCCTGCCTTGTAGCAAGTGTTCAGGCTGATAGTGACAAAATGGTACCAACAGAACCAATTAAACGTCATTAAAAAGCCACAGCGTAACAGAGTATAGTTGCTGAGCATGTTCATCCCTTCATGACCAGTGTATCCATCATTTTTAACACAACTGTGCACCATGTATAAGATCATCATCCCAATCTGGTTTCTTGAACATGACAATGCCTATGCTGGCCTTTAAATGACCTCCACAGTCACCAGTTCTCAGTCTGGTAGGGCTCTTCTGGGATGTGGTCGAATAGGAGATTCGAGTCATGGTAAATCTCGAGGCAAAAAGGAGACTAACCCCTTCAATTTTTACTCCACTTTAGTAAAATTCTCAATTCTGACTTTAGAAAAATGAATGTGGACCACACTGAATTGAATTTCTTTGAATCTGAGGCACATTTCCTTTTAGGTTTATAGAATCAAGTTTATAGAATTTGATTCAGATTATTTGACACCAGCTTTAGCTGCTATGACCCTATTTACACGTGCCAATTTCTATTAATTAATTAATTCTCCATGTCAGGCATTTGTGTTAGCGGCAATGCTTACACAATTTTAGAATAACACAACAGACAGCCATTTTTCATTTAATAATCAAATGATCAAGTTAGTATTTAGGGTGAAGTAGTTAAAACAATATATATCATAAAATAAGTTTTAATTCAGTTAATTTTTGCAAAGGTTTGGTCTTTCAATGGAGATGAAAAAAATGACCAAATCTATTTGGCGACAGCTTTGGTGAAGTTTTTGCTTGTTGTATGTTTTTCAGGCAGATCCTTAAGGTGCTATCTCAGTACAGCGCAGATTGTCGAGTGACCATGGTTGCTCTCAGAGCCTTGGCCCTGCTGCTCAGATCAGGTATGAATACACCGAAGATCCTTCCTGCTACAGATGGCACTGCAAAAGCCTTATTTATCATTTAAGACTCTTTAATGTGAGCAAGTTAACCACCTTGTTTTTCTTTCAGTGATTTGTTTGCCTGCACGGTCACACTCCTTTCTACTCTGATGTGTAGCTGAGTGATTTGAGGCTTCTTAGAAATGCAGAGTTTCAGCTAATTCAAGCATTTGCATACCCAGCAACAATGGAACAAATATTTCCTGCTTCTAAAAATGTTTGTATAATCTAATAATAATATCTGTGCTTGTCAGAAGAATTTCACCACTTATCCAACATGCATTCATGAAAATAAACATTTTCTGATAACATAGCCAACCCATACATTGTAATAAGAGGAGCGGTCAATAGAGTAAAAATTCTGAAATGTTTTTAATCTGCAGGTTTAGGGTTTTTGCTTTTTGTTTGAGCTGGTTGGGTATAAAACAAGACGGGAAGTTTAACGAGAGGCTCGGATAAGATAATCGA